AACAAACACACTGCTGAAGGAGAAAACAAGAGTAGGGAAAAGCCCAGATTTAGAATCCACTAAGGAGCCCTGGAGGAGCTCTGGTAGCATAGTGGCTAAAGCACTTGACTGCTAACCAGATGGCTGGTGGTTCAAACCCACCAGCCACTCCTCGGAATGAAGGTTGGGCAATCCTACTTCTGTAGTGATACTGCCTCGGAAACCCAAGGAGGGGTCGCTATGAGTTGGGGCCGACTCGATGGCACATAACAACAACAACAACAAGGAGCCCTGGTAGCATAATGCCTAAGGCACTTGACTACTAACCAGAAGGCTGGCGGTTCAAACCCACCAGCCACTCCTTGGAAGGAAAGTTGGGCAATCTACTTCTGTAGTGATATCTCCTTGGAAACCCAAGGAGGGGTCGCTATGAATCAGATCCGACTCCATAGCAGTGGTTGCATTTGCGTTGCATTATGTATAAAAAGTTAATATGTGATAAAGTAGGCCTCATACAAAAGGAAGTTTTGATAAATTTTGTTAATAGGTCAGAGATTTGGAAATGGGTCAATTTACATCCTCATCTCATTCCTGTATGGAAAAAGAAATCAAACTTCAGAAAACCTAGCTTCTGGCATAACTAGGGAGGCAGACGTATAGACTGATAAATTTTACTTTAACATGGTAAGTGCTACTATAGAAAGAGAAAGAAAATGATGAAAACACCAAAGAGAAGGGCTCTATATTTTCTTACAGTATTCAAGAAAGATTTAACCCAGCAACAGGAATTTATACTGGGTTTTGGGGGATGAACGTGAATTTGGTAGGGATAAGGAGAGAGTACATGAATAAGGATGAGGTCATTAATGGGACTGGCATCTTGAATGTAATGAATGGTACAAAATGGACAGAAGCATGTTCGTGAATTAAGGAGTTACTTACTAGAGAGCATTCTTCATGTGTAGTGTTCTTTTAAGAATTTTAAGTCACCATGTCTATCATGAAGGAGCTCTGGTGGCATAGTGGATAAGGCATTTGGTTGCTAATCAGGTCAATGGTTCAAACCCACCAGTAGCTCCTTGGAAGGAAGAAAGGGCAATCTACTTCTGTAAAGATTTACAGCCTCGGAAACCCAAGGGGGGTTTGCTATGAGTCAGAATGGACTCGATGGCAGTGAGTTTGTTTTTCTTTTTTTATTTTTTAAAGTTTTTTTTTTTAAATTGTGATTTGGGTGAAGATTTACAGAGTAAATTCACTTTTCATACAGTAGTTCACATATACTTTGTCTCATGTCATTGACCAAAATTTACAATGCATAAGCTCCCCTCCCACTTCCTCCGCATAGTTACCTCTTCCCTGTGTCCATCCCTCCATGCACTCCTGTCCCCTGAGCTGTCTCCTGTGCATAAGCAGCCCATCTTTCTCCCATGATTGTTCTCTCCAAGGAGTGTATCTACTTGAGGTAAATGTTCAACTCATATACCTGTATTTTGTTTGGCTGGAAACCACAGGTGTGGGTTCAATTCCAGACCTTGTTTTTCTTTTTTTGTTTGGTGTCGTCATGAAGATCCATGGTGGCACAATGGTTAAGTGCTTGGATATAGCCCAAAGCTCAGCAGTTTGAACCCACTAGCCACTCAGCAGAAGGAAGATGGGATAGTATATTTATATAAAGATTCTAGTTCTGCCCTGTCCTACATGGTCACTGTGAATCAGAATTGACTCAGTGGCAATGGGTATATCATCATGATGGCAGTTGGGTCAGTGGTTCTCAAGTTGTTATCCAGGGTCCCTGAGAATTTTCCAGTAGGTCTGTGAGCTCAAAACTATTATTTTTCTTTTTAAACATAATTGTTTTCGTTGTTGGCTGCCACTGAGTCAGCCCAAACATATGGTGACCCCTTGTACAATAGGTTTAGACCACTAGCTGATTTATCGTCAAGTGTCCAGTGACAGAGAGGTGGTGGTTGGGCATAAGATGCATTGGCTGGAAATTGAACCTGACTCTCCAGCAGGGCAAGAATTCTACCACTGAGCCTCCATTCTCCCTTTCAGAAAAAAGCAAATGAGTTAATATTATTTCATAAGTATCCTAATAATACTAAGTCATTATTTTACTTTTTAGGGTTATTCTCTCATGACATATAATAGAGTTTTCCAGAGGCTACAGGACGTTTTGATACTGCAGCAGATTGAATGCAGAAGCAAATATGAAAATCAAGCTAACTTCTGTTAAGCCAAACATTAAAGAGTTTTCCAAAAAATGTAATATCATGCTAATCTAATCATTAATTTATATTCTGTATAAGAGGTTTTTTTTTCATTTAAAAATGTGCTTTATGTTAACATGAAATGGGATTGTTACTGTTGTTTTTAAATGAATTAACAAATACATATTTTAAAATTTCTAATACAGTAAAAAGGAGCTCTGGTGGCATAATGCCTAAGGCATTTGACTGCTAACCAGAAGGTCGGCAGTTCAAATCCACCAGCAACTCCATGGAAGGAAGACTGGGCAACCAACTTCTGTAAAGATTTACCACCTTGGAAACCCAAAGGTGGTCGCTATGAGTCGGAATTGACTTGATGGCAGCGAGTTTGGTTTGGTTTTGGAATACAGTAAACATATAGATACACACAAACAAAAGCTCTTTAGGAGGTTCTGAAACCAAAAAGCTTGAGAATCTTTGGTTTTAGACTGATGAAAAGTCCTTTGAGGAAGCCCTATTAACAGAAGTCTGTGAGAAGTGTTTTTAAGGGTATTTTTGCACGGGGCCTTCTCCTAGCCAGATCCCCCTTATGGCAGAAGTGGGTGGGCCTTTCTTTGGATATAGTATTAACATGGTAGGATGAGGGGGTTGGGGTGGATTAAAATGGCCACAAATTTCTTATTGTTTGCTTCAAAAAGTGAAATACAGTTCTCTACCTCTTGAATCTGGGTTGGCCTTGTGAGTTGTTTTTGATCGAGTGAATATGAAAAGTGATTAACAAGCAAGGTCTAAAGTGTTGGAGGAGAGGGGTGCTTCAGCTCTCAACCCTTGTATCCCCAAAACCTCCATGCTGTGAAAGACCATGTGGAAAAGGCCCAGCTAGGTAAAGTTTACTACTTGTCTTTCAAGGCCTGTAATAATTGACCCTAATGCTCTCTCTCTAAACTGGTCTCCATTTCCACAGATGATATCCTTGGAAAAAACTCCTCTTTTGTTGGGTTAGCCTTGTTTGTTCTAATTGAATTAGGAAAAGAAAAAAAAAAATTTGGATGCCTTCAGGCACTGACCTTGCAACCTGCCACTGTCCTGCTTCTATTACTTACATTAGGCTCAATTAAACACCTAACAGTCCTTACCATACCCCCGAAGAATTTGTTTATCACTGCTACATCTACAGACCTCACAACACATCACATCCTGTTCTTTAAAGCTGAATTGCATTTCCTTGCCTCTTTTGGGGAGCATGGAGCTCTGATGGTGTAGTGGTTAAAGCATTCAGCTCCTAACTAAAATATCCCTGGTTGTAACCCACCAGCCTCCTCAGGAGAAAGATGAGGCTGTCTGCTCCTGTGAGGATTTACAGCCTTGGAAACCCTATGGGGCAGTTCTACTCTGCTCTATAGAGCTGCTATGGCTCACAATCGACTCGATGGCAGTGGGTTTGGGTTAGGCGAGCAGAAAAGCACTTCCTTTTGTTTCCAGCAGTTCCAGATGCCACAGGCCTCCTTTTAGACTTCTTTTTTCACCCCTATTCTTCAGGCTATCCAGTCGATTCTGCCTCAAGGGGACTTCAAGTCTTCCTGTCCCTCTGTGGGTTGGAACCTTTAACCTCTGGGCTACTAGCCCAGCATTTATCGTTTTGGACTCCATAATTAACTGCTTCTTATCCAAAGGTTCACTGCAATTTGTCTAACCTTTGTCAAAATCCTCCTCCCCGAAGTGAGCTATGAATACCATGACTAGGGTGAGGCGAGTTATATACTCACCTCGGGCACAGCATTTAACGTGGCACCAAGAAGCCCAGTAATCGAGGTAAGTAGTATTTAAAAAAAAAATCAAATATAATGCAAAAAATCCATGGTGAACAAAATATCAAATTTAAAAATAAAGTCAAGATCCTCAGGACTTTGACACCTCCTAACTACCACCGTTCCCATCCCAACCCTTCACTCACAAGGCAGGACTGAACGAACTCGATGTATGTATCACATACCTCTTGCTTATGCTGTACGTGAACCACAAGGCTAAGGTACATCGGGGGAGCCATTCTCTCCACCACCCCCTGCCCTAGCGCAGCAACACGGGCCGCACCACGTAGCTGTGAACTGAAAACTGCGCTTTTGGAAATGTCTGGAAAGAGGGGGTCCTCGTGGAGGCGTGAGTGCCCGTGCACGTGTGTGTTGCACAAGTGTGCACGCGCTCTTCTAGTCTTGCTTCTCTTCCGAAATCCTGGCTCAGGGCAGGGCACGGTACTGCCTTAGAGTACGCACCCAGGCTCGGACTTTGCGCTTGCAAAGATAGAGGCACGGGGTTGCATGTGGAAAAAGAAGCTCACAATTCCTTTTTGCAAAACTGGCAGGTGGAGGGCCAACTCAGCGCCCTCATCCCAGGCCAGAAACACGCCAGGGCTGGGAAGTGGTGGAAGGCTTGAACCTACATCATCAGAACCTTGTAAGTCTCCGTGGGATCCCGCGTACTGCCCTCCTGCCATCGCAAGTAGAAAGACCACGCCAGTAGCAGCCGTTGACTGAGAGCGAAGGAAGGCGACAGCGAAAGCGGAGAGGGCGGAGGAGCTTTCCTCGCTCCGCTCCGCCTCTTTTCTCGGACGTCGGCTAATCGCCGCGCGCTCCGAGCCCTAGCCCGGCCTCTCCCCGCCTCCTCTGGTTTACGGCTCCGCCCGGGCCGGTAATAATTAAGCTGAGGACAGGGGGTGCTGCGGCGTCAGCACCTGTGTCGGCCAATCCTGCGCTCCCCTCCGCGGTCGCGTCACAGGACGAACAACCAAACAGAAAAGTTTAATAAACAGCGGACGGAGGGGCCGGCGGCGGCGGGGCCGGAGCGAGCTGGGGTTCGGCGGCCTCACCTGTCCCCATTCACCGGCGGCGACCGGCGGCGGCGGGCAGCGAGTCAGGCGGAGAGAGCCCCAGCCAGGTGAGGAGCGCAGCCCGTGGGGTCTGGCCGGCTTGGCGCTACCCTTTCCTCTCTCAGCCCCTTCCCCCACCGAGCTCTGGCGAGACGAAGCAAGGCCCGCCCCTGGCCCCTCCCGGCGCCGGCTAGCCGGAAGCGGAGGGCTGCCGGCCGGCGCAGCAGGTGGTGAACCCTTCACTCGCTTGCGGGCCCTGGCTGGGCTTTTGCGAGGAGGCGAGGGGATTCCCGGCCCAGGAGCCAGGGACTGGGCAGGCTCCAGCCCCCTCAGCTCTCTCATTTCTGAGCTCGCAGGGCGCTCGTGGTCCCGGGCCGGCTTCGCGGCCGGGTGGTCGCGCCAGGGCGGCCGTGACTGTCTACTCCTTGTGGGGGCCCGCGACGCTCGCTGACCTGACCTCATTCCGAACAGTTGGCAGGCAGGGGTTGGAGGGGCCCCGGGCAACCTCCGGCGCGTCCCTTTCGCCAGAACCAGTCTTGTCTCCGCCCCGCCTCTCCGAGTCTGTGGTCCTATTTAGAATGTTTTTCCACCTGCCTTGGTTTCCAGCGCCAGCGAAGAGGGGGAAAGTCTAGCTAGCTTGTCAGACTGCCTTCTGACTGGCAAAGGGGAAGAGATTTAGTCTTTTTCTCTGTTAATGTTTTGTTTATTCAGTATTGAATATTTTAGCTCTCTGGGGAGTACTGTTTTCAAGTTTGTGTCTGGCTACGTGAGCAAGTAGCTAAGGAAGTACGTAAAAATCTTGTTTGAAATTATTTTAACATCATTTTGTAATATGGTGTTAACCTCTTATTTAAAACGCTAGAATTTATCTTCATAACTAGAAAATTGGACCGATGTGAGGAAGTTAGGGCCTTGGAGTTACACGTAGAGAATTGGTATTACATGTTTGGCGGTAAGAGCTGAGCACTTTTCAGGGGCTTTTAAGTGGCATTGAGTTGAGAATTTGAGTTTTCTGTGTAAAGCAATGTTTAAGGTTAGTAATGCTCTTATTATATCATTTACGGACCAAGTTACATAAAGTCTTAAGGATTTCAGGGGCAAATGTACGCATTTAAATTTCCAAAACAAGTTAAATTCTTCTTCTACATTTTAAAATATATTTAAGGGTAACAGGAATTACAAAGTTACAGGAGGTAGATTTAGGAAGTGATGGATTTATTTATGTATTTTTGTAGTGGCAATTTCCTGACTCTATACTTACGTCCAACTTTAGCAAATTTTACACTTTAAACATGTAAGTTTATTGTATATGACTAATACCTCAATAAAGCCATTTAAAAACTCAAAAAAAAGTAACCAGAACATATATTTAACACTTACAAAGTAATATAATATACAGGATACAGTTTAAAGCCATAAAAATAAAATCCTTCACTCCTCCACCCAAACCAAGAATTGGAACCTTGCCAAAACATGAATCTACTTAGCAGTTAATCTCTGTTTCTAACTGAAGTGATCTTCTAGTCTAGTAGATTTTGTGTTTATGTCTTTGCCTTTTTTAAAAAAAGTTTGACCACATACATTTACATGCCCAAACACAGTGCATTTATTTTTCTTTGATAGAAATGGGATATAAATGTGTTTCTCTTACTTTCATTGATATATAATATTGCATTAATTAGCCATAACTCATGGGCATTTAAGTTGTTTGTGGGTTTTTCTCTTTATTTTTTCGCCATTAAGAACTGTGCTCTATGAACATACCTTGCTTCTGGCTCCTGGTGTATAAGTACTATAGTTTTTCTAAGATAAATACTTAGTGTAACTGTAATACTTAGATTGTTTTAGGTAGCCACCATAGAATAGATTGAAATACTGGAAAAAAATTGAATGGACAATGCTGGGATTCTGTATTAGATTTAAATGGAAGATTCATAGCCATAGTGATTGGTTCATAGTTGTTGAACATTTGCATGAGAATCAGATCCTTGGTAATCAGTATATAATTAACCTCTTCTTTAACTCACATTGTGAAAAATCTGGCACTACATAGTTTTTTTTTGGTCAATGCAAAAGTGGTAAATATAGTAGAAAAAAACCTTGATTGATTGTGTGTAAAACAAATCACTCTTTCTGTTTCTCTCTCACATCCTACTATTAATCTTTGGCAAGTTACTTAACATGTCTCTTGTGCCTTAGCATACTTGCGTAAAAGAAATCTGTCCCTTATACTAGTTTTGCACAGACTTAAGGAAGCACAAATCAAGTGGCAGAGCCTTTTAGGGAATCAATTAGAACTACCATGTTTTCTGTGGAATTAGTGAATGTGCCCTATGGAATATTTTTGGAAAAAAAGATGTAATGGGTGTTCCAGGAAACGTCAACCGCACATTTATGTATTTTTTACCTTCTTAGCCTCTGGAGTTAGGAATGCCCCCAAAGTATGCTTTTGGAGGGATCTATTTTAATTATCATGCTAACAGCAGTGCAATGACAAATTAGGTAGCAATATTTCCTTAATTTTCTAAAGATAGGAGTGTGTGTGTGTAATATGACTTTATGTTTGGCTTTGAAAAATTTGTTTTTATTTGAAACCGTGAGAATAGAGACCGTTCAATTTTTTATAATATATGTAGTTTCAGACAAATACTTGGATGTTTTGTTAGGACTGTAGTATCCTGCTTTAAAAAACTGATTTTTTTTTTTTTGGATTATAAGGGTAATTTATTTTTCAAAGTTTGAAAAAGAATAGGTAGTTAGAAAGAAAAGTCATTTATCGTACCACCAGAGATAACCATTGTTAACATTTTGGCAAGTATATACTTGGTCTTTCTACGTGTATTCTTCATATCCTAACCAATATTAGGTATGAATAGCCAGCTCCTGTCTAGTGGACTCCAACTCATGGCGACCTTACATACAACAAAGTAAAGGCTGCCTAGTTCTTTATCCCATCCTCACTAGGATCTTCCTTAGGAGCTCTGGTAGCATAGTGCCTAGGGCACTTGATTGCTAACCAGAAGGCTGACGGTGCAAACCCACCAAGCTGCTCCTCTGAAGGAAGGTTGGGCAATCTACTTCTGTAGTGATACTGCCTCAGCAACCCAAGGAGGGGTTGCTATGAGTCGGGGCCAACTCGACAACATACAACAACAACAGGATCTTCCTTGCCTTTGCTGGCCCTCTGCTTTACCAAACATGATGTTCTCTGGCGACTGATCCTCCCTGATGACATGTCCAGGGCAAGTGAGTTGGACAGTGTTCTGTTGTGGTCCATGAAGTTTTAATTGGTTAATTTTTGGAAGGAGATCACCAGGCCTTTCTATCTAGTCTTAGTCTGGAAGCTCGCTGAAACCTGTCCACCATGGATGACCCTGCTGGTATTTGAATATCAGTGGCATAGCTTCCAGCCTCACAACAGCACAAAAGCTACCCCACAGTACAACATACTGGCAGATGGGTGGTGGTAAGATTAGCTGTTATCTAACTGATGCAACTTTTGCTGTTCTACAGTCTTCTCCAGTTGCTCCTCTGGAGCATAGTCATTTAAATGTGTAAATTATGTTGTCTTACTCTTATGTTCAGAACCCTTCAGTAGCTTTTCAATACACAAAATTCAACCTTGTACTATGGCTCTTGATACCCTTGTTGTTGTTGTTGTTATGTGCCGTCGAGTCGACCCCGACTCATAGCGACCCCTCCTTGGGTTTCCGAGGCAGTATCACTACGGAAGTAGGATTGCCCAACCTTCCTTCCGAGGAGTGCCTGGTGGGTTTGAACCGCCAGCCTTCTGGTTAGCAGTCAAGTGCTTTAGCCACTATGCTACCAGAGCTCCTTCATTATACCCTAGACCAGCCAATATCCAGTGGGAGCCAGATAAGTAATTTAAAACTTTATGGTAGCCACATTACTTTTTTTTTTTTTTTAAGGAAAAAAAAAAAAGAAACAGGTAAAATATATTTTGTTTAATCCCAAACATTATCAGTTCAACATGTAATCAATATAAGAAATTGTTAATAGCATATTTTACATTCCTTTTTCCATGCTGTTTTCACAATCCAGTGTGTTTTGTTACTCAATTTGGACTAGTCACGTTTCTAGTGCTCAGTAGCCAGAAGTGGCTAGTGACTACTGTATTATTGGACAGTGCTGACCTGGATTATCTAGCCTTGCCTGCTCTGCTTCATAGGCATATTTTCTGCCACCCTTACCTCCCCACCATTCACTTTCAGCTACACTGGCATTTTTGTGGTTGTTGAATATGCCAAAGTTATTTCCTTAAAATTACTGTTCACTTTGTCTAGAACATTCCAGAATTTCTACTCAAATATCAACCCCTCAAGAGACACTTTCACTGAATGCCTTTGCTAATCAACTTGACCCTGCTTTATTTCTTCATAGAATCTAACATTGTCTGAAATTGTTTCTTGTTTGGTTGTCTCTCTCCCCTGCTTGAATGTAGGGCAGGGACTTCCTCGTGTTTACCACTACATTCCATATAGTGAAGGGTATATAGTATTTTATCTTATGAAAGCACTATAATTAAACTAGTTACTGATTGTGTATAACTTGTAATCCTTTTTTCCATTATGTGTACTGAAGATCATCTTAAGAGCTAACTAAATTTTTGGATTTCTCTTAGATTTAATGTTAGTTGTAGAATTTATGAGTCAAAATGTATAAACATTTTTTAAGAGTTTGCATAAATATTGCCAATGATCCTTAAAAAGTGTGACCAACATTATAGTACACAGTTTGACAAAAAATATGAGAGAATATACATTTCTTCTTTATCTTTACCATTACTTGGTATTATACTTCCTTCTTTTGTGCTTTCCTATTTCATAGGATTTATTGTGCATTTTTAAAATTAGCTATTATGATGCATAAAGGTAAGAATATTGGACATCTAGTTTTTTTCCCCTATTTTCAGGGATATTTTATATTTGTGATAACTCTTTTTATGTATTTAAGAGTAACATATTATTACATACAGAAAATATTTTTCCTGGTTCTTCATTTGCTTTTTATTTGCTTACAGTGTTTTTTAATATGTATTTTTATCTTT